GCTGAAAGAACATCTTTTAGATAAACAATTAATAAACATAAAACTAGAAAGAAGAACTGAAGCTTCTTCTTGTCTTTTGACACGCGGGCTGCGTCGAGTCCACCTCTCGTGATCTGCTCCAGGAAAAATTATTAGCTCTGGCCTTAAAAGGCCGAGTAGAAAAATGCTCTTGGAGAAAAAAGAGCAAGAAATATTATTAAAACACCCAGTCCCAAAACCCAGAAACCTCGAGAAACTCCCAAAAAGCGTCCAAAAAGTCCAGAGAGCATAGAGGACTCAAGAGCAGAGAGAGAACGAGAGGAGAGAGAAGACCGGGGAGAGGCGCTTTCTCGCGGCAGCAGAGCAGGCGGAGAGCGCGGCTGAAAGAAAAACAAGAGACGCGTGTTCAGATATAGCTTTGCTAAGCTCAGGGCCGGAGAGTGCAGCGGCCCCGGGGGCCGGCAAAGTAGCAGAAACGCGCGCAGCAAGCAAAACTCGCAAAAAACCCGGGGGAGAGAAGCCACAAACCAAAGCCGGGACGTCTGACCCATGCAGCGAAATTAGGAGAATTGCGCAATCCCAGAAAGCTGCGGCGAGACGCAAGAGGCGCGCGGTTGTGACGCAAAAAAAAACCCGGTGCGAGTCGCGGCGAGCGCGAGTGCCAGCAGAGACGGCCTCACACACACTGACGAAAAGCCACACACACACACAGCGTCGGAGGAAGAAGAGACAGTCCAGAGCAGACCGAGGGGGGAAAATTCAGAGGCAGAATAAAAAGAGAGAGGAAAAAATTACCTCAAGAGAGACACAGAGCAGCTCAGAAAGCACGCATGCGCCGAGCGCAGGCGGGGGCGAGCCAGACCCCCAGTGACGTCTCAAGTTAAGAGGAGCCCTCTCCAGACTTAGTGCCTTTAGTAAAAACCCTCGGAGTCCTAAGCCTCTCCCCTCCTGGGGAGGCTTGTGTGTGTTCTAACCCTATTGTCAGTTGAATCAAAAACTAAGTAACCCCTGAGTGCACAACATACCAAATCAGTTCAGCAGAAATACAGCATCATTTCGTAACGACTCTGCAACTATGCAACGATTTTCCTCAACAAGATATAAGAAGAAACGAATACTCAGACAAAAGTCAGAACTCAGACTGCAAAAGACAACTCAGAAGAGAAACAAGAGAAACGAAAGACTCTAAAGAGTTTTCCCTTTGAAGTCTTAAATATTTCTGTATAAGAACGAAAGACTCTGGGGAGTTTTCTCCTTGAGATCTTGAATTGCAATAAGCAATGAAATAAATTTACCTATTACAGAAGAAACTGACAAAAGATCATATATTGATCAGCTAGTAGATTTCTTTGACATGTCTCCCATTTAGAGAAGAATTTTAAGAGCAGATTTCTTTGACATTTCTCCCATTTAGAGAAGAATTTTAAGAGTAAGATTTTATGTTTTAGTAGTTTAAGATTTTATATTGTAATAGCTTTCCTAATCCTCATCCATGTCGTCCCAGATGCCATGAATCAAATTGTAAAAGAAGTTTTCTTAGAGCAAACAGAAGGGGGAGATGTCGGATCTCAATATCTCAGTCCTGAGATGCTGAGCCTCCGAGACCCCTTGGGGGTCTCAGGAGTCCTGGAATGTTGCCAGAAGTGTCTGGTAGCTAGACTTTTACCCTACACAGGAGACGACAAGGATGAGGGCTTCACTGGGTGAATAGTGAAGAGATTAGTTAATTAGAGAGTAAGACACAAGGTTTAAGATTTATGTACAGGGGGGTTTAGAAGAGTAAGATAGAAGAATTGGGGTGTGTCCTACCCTCCTTCTTCTTCCTTCTCTCCTCCATCTTCTTTGGCCACGGTGGCACCTTTAGATTAGTTATTACTGAGAGTGCACCGAGTTATAACAATAGATGGTATTGGGGAAAAATGATAAATATTGTATACGTAGCAAAGGGTATAAAGATACGTGGCTGCCCGGGAGGGCAGACAGTGTGCCCATGGCTGACTGCTGTGCGGATCTCTGTTGAGCTGAAAGAACATCTTTTAGATAAACAATTAATAAACATAAAACCAGAAAGAAGAACTGAAGCCTCTTCTCGTCCTTCGACACGCGTGGTGCCCCAAGGCCACCTCCGAGCCTCTCAAGCCCCTCAAACAGCCGAGATAAACACAGAAGAAATCAACAATTTCATTTCTTTTGGGTTGTATCATTCCAAATGCCTGCTGGTTTATTATTTAAATTCAACTAATGAAAGCTGGCATCTGACTTCCAACAGTGGTCCAGCTGTTCTAAAATACAAGCACTCATTTCAAAGACATATTGCCACAAACTGCCAGGAAAATATCACGCTGTAGTTTTGTAGAAAAGCTACACTGCATCATAGTATCACGTGAAAGGCATACAGCTCTGAAGCCCCACAGGACATTACTCCTCTGTTCTAGGAACTCTTTTGATGAGTAAGCATTAATTTTCATTCAGCCTCATTGAATGATGGTCATTCTCAATTCATTATTGTAAATAGGAAGCCCCTAATGCAAATTTAAAAGAACATCTCCATCTTGCATGATTCTTCAGTATCTTCATACGTCTTTCAAAGATTTGGGAGTTAGAGAGAAATATATGTTTGATTATGTAATATGTGAAGGAGTATATAGTAATTTTATTAATTTGTAAGGCAGATTTTTTTTTCTGAACTAGAAATGTAAGTCTTTATGCCTTCATTGTAAAAGAACAGAATTAAAAAATGAACATAACCATTGCACATCAATTTACCGAGAAATCAAGGCAGAACTCATGCAACTGCCCATCAAGTCTTCATAGAGACACACGCGTTTACAGCATCCTTCTAAACCTTAATTTAATGC